TCATATAATATACTTCATCATTAAAATAGTATGGTAGTCAACTAGTCATGTTTCTTTTATTTATATATATATATATATATATATATATATATATATATATATTATAATAATAATAATAATAATAATACAATAATTTACCATGATGCCATATGATGAATACTATGCCAAGACTTGCTTATTAAAATGTTTAGAATGCTCCCTTTGTACAGATTTTTTCATTGATTAGTTATATTATCAAGTCATAATCTCATAATTAAAGATAATACATAAATTCACAAAAGGAGTATGATTGACTATTACTTATATATAGAGAAATATATACTAAGTCAATTATTAAATCAATCATGTACTGACCTGAATTAAATATTAATAATACGAATTATTTCATTTTCTTATCAATATCCATGTATACAAAAAATTAAAAGTTTTTTGTAATTTTGCGTTGCGTGTGAAGTGTGAACACACAACTAATCATTTAATCTTTAGTCCATTGTTTTCTTTAATGACTTGTAGTAAGTAGCCAAAAACAATGCAAGATTTGATATTTCATAAAGTAAAGCCAACTTCAAATGGAGCAAATCAATTATTCAAACAAGACTTGTTGGAGACAAATTTCCAATCATTTTGGAATTTGGACTACCAAATAGGCAAAATAATGATAACGTAGAAATCTTACCTTAAATGTAGATTTATCTTCACATTTGATTCGTGACAAAACTTCACGCGTATACATTAAGTGTAAATTAACGTATTTAGCAAGGTAAAGCTAAAGATAATGCGTTAAAAGTCACAATAAGCATGCTGCGTAAGAGCCTAGAGGGATGTATAAGAGATTGAATTCTCCAATAGTGAGAGCGATAAGATTTATTATTAATTATACTCTATAATCTATCTATCTATATATATATATATATATATATATATATATATATATATATATATATATATCGTACTTCCTTTTTTTTTTTTTTTTATAAGTTAAAGTCAAACTTGTATATTTGTCGAGACACAACTTTGACCATTAATATTTTTAATGAAAGATCGATGACATATGAATAGTGAAAAATCTCAACTCTAACTTATAAGAAAAATGAAGGGAGTAGTTGTTAAAGTTATATTATTTTTATTGATAAATCTTTATATAATCGCATTAAAAAATTGCTTGACAATGCAACCAAAATTCATGTTTTGTCAAAGACGATATCATATTCATTCTCCCTAATTAAGCTTAAGTATAGGTGATCATTGGCAATCGTGTACCTTTCCTCTTGGATTAAAAGTGTACGTATTTGAAAATTTTACGTGTATGGGATAATATCTAGGTAGGACCGATATCTTGTAAAAGCACGTGACCAAACTCTGAATAATTGTGAAAAGGCGCCGATATGCACCAGAAAGCAGACGTATCGGCTTGTCGGAATTCGGCACGTGGCAACAAAAGCTCGACACTTGGCGCAGGAGGCTTTGCATGGATGAGAAAGGCTTTGCATGGATGAGAGCCACCTGTCAAGGTGGATCATTATAAATAGTAGGTAAGACCTCATTTATGAGGGGATTTTAAAATGATTCTTCCTCTCTCTCTCTCTCTCTCTCTCTCTTTACTTTCTCTCTCATACTTATCTTCTTCTCTAGAACACTTTCTGACTTTGTCATCGGAATGGTTATCCCCGGACCACCCCGGGGTTAGCTAACTTCTTCTCATTGTGTAGGTTCTCAGCTTGCCGATAGGAGTATCAGGATCTCAGGTCCGAGTTCTTGGGGAATCAGATTCAGACAGAAACAATTTGGCGCTAGAAGGAGGGGGCTTTGATCACTTCTATCGCCTAAGAACCTCACACAAAAAAATATATATATACATAATAAAAATAATCATGGCCGAAAACAATTTGGTAGAACAGCCTCAGATGGAGATAGTGGATGAAACCCACACCTTAGAGGATAATCAGTTTCACATGCCGATAACCTCCCCTGCAGGCGGAGGGGAGACAGAGGATCTTATGGCGGCATTCACACCAGATGAATTGGAGACAGCAGCAAGGGTGATGAGTGCAACGAGTAGGAAGAGAAAGGAGGCTGAGGCGGCACAGGATGAAAGGGGGGCCGCTCAGGCCGATAGAGGAACACCGCACCGTAACCAAGAAGAGCAACATAATCAGTTGATGAACTCGCCTAGGAGATCCCGACATGAGTCGCCGATAAGATCGCACACAATGTCACGGCGGGTTGAACAATCCTCAAGTCACACTGTGAGTACGAGAACCCAACAGCAGAGAAGTTCGCAAGGGGATGGGCAGGCAGTGCGAGCAGTGGTGCAGTTAAGGGCATCTCCTTTTTCCCAGCATATCTTGGAACAGCCAATGGAAAAGGTGAAAATGCCGACTTGCAGGTATGATGGAAGAGGGGATCCGGCAAGATTTATAACGTCCTATGAGGGGCACATGATGTTGTATACCAACTCAGATGCAGTCTGGTGTAAGGTCTTTCCGACTACTCTGATTGGGGCTGCAGCCGATTGGTTCAACAACCTTGAAGTTGGGTCAGTAGATAGTTTTGAAAGATTGACCGAGATGTTTGTGGGTCAGTATGTCAGCAATAGTGTAAGGCAGAGAACCTCTGGAGAATTGATGGCCGTGGAGCAGAAACCGGATGAATCCTTGAGGGATTATATTAGACGATTTAACAATGAGGCAAATACAATCCCAAAACTGCAACAAGAAATAGTTGTGATGGCTTTAATGAATGGCTTGGTTGATTCTGATTTCAAATGGTACCTTACAAGGAAAAACCTGCCGACATTAGCAGCGACGTTTAGTAAAGCTCATGATTACATTAAGAGTGAAGAATTGATGAAGACAAGTAGCAGACATGTCGTTGCCGGAAAGGGGCAAAGCCAGTATGAAGGGACATCGTCTGGAGGAAGTAGGCCGAGAACTCCTGCCCCAGGAAGGGGAGGAGGAAGCCGGCAATATTTAAGACCAACAAGGCTGCCAATGAGATATAGCACTTACACTCCCCTGAATACACCAAGGGCAGCAATCTACTCAGTGAATCAGAATAGAGAAGATTGGTCAAGGCCGATTCCCATGAAGGCAAGGCCAAGGGATGTGAAGAAGTATTGTATGTTCCATAGGGATGTGGGACATTATACAGAGGAGTGTACGCAATTGAAGGATAACATTGAGGAGTTGATCAGAAAAGGGCATTTGACACAATATCGGCTGAACACAAGCAGGAATCAACAACCGGCACAAACAGTTGAGAGGCAACTGATAGAGGCAAGGCCTGAGAGGACTCAAGGAGGAATAGTCCGACAAGGGGATATAGGAATACCACCGTTGTCTACTAGAAGGGTAGATGTGATAACAGGGGGACCGATTCATGGAGGGACGATTAGTGGAGCAAAGAAGCATTTGGCTGAGCATCGTCACCTAGTTTGCGCCTTGGATGTGGACAATCGTCCTCGGCCAGCATCAATACCTCAGGTAGTGTTCACAGAAGAAGATGCAAGGGGTGTAGTGTTCCCACATGATGACCCGTTAGTCCTAATAACTAAGATAAACGGGGCTAACATCAAAAGAGTGCTGGTGGATGGAGGTAGTTCAGCAAATGTGTTGTTTGTGCAAGCTTTTAATGAGATGAATATAGGAAGGCAGTACCTGAAACCGGTATCATATCCCGTAATCGGGTTCAATGGAACAACAGTGAGGCCGGAAGGGAGCATTGTGTTACCGGTTAAGCTGGGTGATGGGCCACAAGCAAGAGATGTGATGGCAGAGTTTCTGGTGGTGGATGTTAAGTCAGCCTACAACTCAATTATCGGCAGACCGATAATACATGATATGCAGGCCGTTGTATCAACTTACCATCTGGCAATAGCTTATGTGTCAAATTTAGGAGCTGTGGAGAAGGTATATGGAGGTCAGGTGATGTCAAAAGCTTGTTACGTGACAGCTTTGAAGAACCCAGTTGGCAGTGCTCCAATACCATGCAATCCGATAAGGGAAGGTGAGCCAACAGTTCAAGATTTAACCATGAAAAACTTTGATGCAAGGCCTGAGGAAACACCAAGGCCGTTACCAGGGGGAGAAACCGTCCAAGTTGAATTGCAACCAGGCGACCCGAGTAAAACAGTGAAGGTTGGGACTGATATGGATGTGGATACAAGGTGTAATCTGATAAGCCTGTTACGTGAAAATGCAGATGTCTTTGCATTTTCGGCAAGTGAGATGCCGGGGATACATCCAGAGGTGATGGGGCATAAGTTGAATGTTGATAGAAAATTCAGGCCGATAAGGAAAAAGAAGCGCAATTTCTCAACTGAGAAAATAGAAGCAATTCAGGCTGAGGTAAATAAGCTCTTAGCGGCAGGGTTCATTGAGCCTTGCACATATCCGGAATGGTTGGCGAATGTAGTAATGGTGAGAAAGACGACAGGGAAGTGGCGAATGTGTGTGGATTTTACAGATCTAAATAAGGCTTGCCCTAAGGATTGCTACCCATTACCCCGGATAGATAGGTTGGTAGACTCAACCTCTGGTCATGCTATGCTCAGTTTTCTGGATGCGTTTTCAGGATATCATCAGGTCAGCATGCATAAGGCTGACAGGAATAAAACGGCTTTTATAACAGATGTCGGTGTGTACTGTTATAAGGCAATGTCGTTTAGGTTGAAAAATGCAGGAGCAACATATCAAAAGTTGGTGGACAAGATATTTGAGAAGCAGAAAGGCCGGAATGTTGAGGTGTATGTAGATGATACGATAGTAAAGAGTAAAGAAAAAGAAGACCATATAGCGGATCTGAGGGAAACATTTGAGACGTTAAGGAGATATCAGATGAAGTTGAATCTGGAGAAGTGTATGTTTGGGGTCAGATCAGGGAAATTCTTGGGCTTTATGGTCAGTGAACGGGGGATAGATGCAAATCCAGATAAGGTGAATGCGGTACTCCAAATGAAACAACCAAAAACCATTCGTGATATATAGAGATTGACTGGAAGGATGGCAGGATTGACCAGATTTATTAGCAAGTCAGCCGACAAGGCGCTTCCGTTTTTCATGGTACTAAGAAAGAACAAGACATTCGAGTGGGGAAAGGAACAGAGTGATGCCTTGGAAGTAGTAAGGAATCATCCCATATCTCTTCCCACGATTGCCAGGCCCGAGAAGGGGGAAGTGATGCAGTTGTATATTTCAGCATCACCAAAAACGGTAGCGGCCGTTTTGATAGTGGAAAGGAAGAAGCAGCAGAAGCCGATATACTTTGTCAGTCACATATTGAATGCGGTAGAACGCGGATATCCAGTGATAGAGAAGATGACGTTAACAGTAGTAGTGGCGGCTAGAAAGTTGAGTCCTTACTTTGATGCACATCCAATAGAGGTGTTAACCAATCACCCTTTGGAGAAATCATTGCATAAAATGGATACATCTGGTAGATTATTGGCATGGGCAGTTGAGTTGTCGGAGTATGAAATAAGCTACAGGCCGAGAACGTCAATTAAGGCTCAAGCATTGTCGGATTTCATTGTTGAAACCACATACACGGACGAAGAGGAAGAATTGGGCACATGGCAGGTATCAGTTGATCGTTCAGCTACGGCAACGGGGGCAGGGGCTGGAATTGTGATAACAGCTCCAGATGGGAAAATGTTTGAATATGCCATGAAGTTTAAGTTCAAGGCAACAAATAATGAAGCCGAGTATGAAGCTGCAATAGCCGGAATGCAGTTGTCAATCGCAGCAGAAGCAAAGCGGCTGGTTTTAACAACTGACTCCCAACTGGTATCAAGTCAGTATAGTGGAGAGTATGAAACTCGAGAGCCAGCAATGGTGAAGTATTTGGAGAAGATGAAACAGTTAGCAGCGCAGTTGCAATATTTTGAAATAAAACTGGTTCTGAGACTGAAAAATGCTCAAGCAGATGCGTTGGCAAGATTAGCAAGTTCAAGTTTTAATGACTTGGAAAGGACGATCATGGTGGAGGTTTTAAAGCAGAGAAGTATAGATGAGATGTCGGCAAAGGTTTCATGTATTGATGTTGGGAACCAGTGGTATGATAAAATACTGGCATACCTCATCCATGGTGCAGGGCCAGCGGATAAGGGGGAGTTGAAAAGATTAAGGAAAGATAGCGTGTGGTTTGTCATGTACCAAGGTCAGTTATACAAAAGGGGGTTTGCACTGCCATTGCAAAGGTGTATAACGGATTTTGAGCCAGCAAGGTTGTTAGAAGAATTGCATGAAGGTAGTTGTGGTAACCATCTCGGAGCAAGAGCCTTATCCAGAGAAGCAGTGAGAAGGGGATACTACTGGCCGACGATGAACGCAGATGCAATAGCTTATGTTAAAAGATGCGAGAAGTGTCAAAAGTTTGCCCCAGTTATTAACTTGCCTCCTAATGATCTGACTCTGATATTAAATCCAATCCCTTTTGCCCAATGGGGAATGGATATAATTGGCCCGTTCCCATCGGCCACGGGTGGAAGGAAATTTCTGATAGTGGGGATAGACTATTTCACAAAATGGATTGAAGCAGAACCAGTAACGAAGATAACGGCATCAGAAGTGAAGAATTTTATATGGAAGAGTATCTTCACAAGATTTGGGTTGCCGATGGCGATGGTTTTTTATCATGGAACCCAATTTGATTGTAAGCCAATCAAAGATCTCTTAACGATGTACAAGGTGAAATTTGCTTATGCAGCAGTATGCCATCCACAGTCTAACGGCCAGGCAGAAGCAGCAAATAAGCAAATTATAATGGCAATTAAAAAGAAGATTGAAGATGCAAAGGGTTTGTGGGCAGATTTGATACCGGAGATATTGTGGGCAAACAGGACGACAATTAGAGAAGCCACAGGTGAATCACCTTATACTTTAGTGTTTGGAACAGAGGCAGTCATACCAGCAGAGGTTGGGTTGCCGACATTTAGGATTCAGCATTACTGTGAAGACCAAAATGATTTACTTCTACGACAACAGTTAGAATTTTTGCCAGAGCTCAGAGAAAAAGCAGCAGTTAAGTCAGCTGCATATAAGGAAAGAATGTCGAGGGCCTACAACAGAAGAGTGTCTCATCGGCCGTTAAGTGTGGGGGATTTAGTACTGCGAAGAACAGCGACGACATGTAAGGGAAATGAAGATGGAAAGCTGACTGCAAGTTGGGAAGGACCTTATCGGATTAGAGATGTCGTCATCCAAGGATCGTTTTATCTGGAAACTTTGGATGGGACACCCCTAAAGAATGTATGGAACACGGCTGTGCTGAAGAAATACTACGTATAATTTACAATTTTCATGTGAAGCTGATATCGAAAAAGGGTATCAGTGATGAATAAAGAAATATTCAGACAACATATATTGGAATAGGCATCCTCCATTTAACAGAACACCGTTAAATGGGACGGACAGCTCAAAACCGCTTCCGTGAAGTTAATAGATATACAACCTGATCAGTTGTATACGTTAACTCACGAGGTTGCTGGTTCAAAATATAAATACCGTCCAAATCAATTCGAGTATACGCCAATATGAGGCGTAGCTCAGAGAGTGATCGCCGAGAGGGTACCTAACTGGCTGAAACAACAAAGCAGTAGGTGACCAATGTTATAATCTGGACCAGCAACGAATGATAACTGCCAAGTATACATAGTTCTAACACGAACTATGTACACTGGGGGGAGTAAAGAATGACATAAATATCGTGCATTGATAGTTATTAAATGACAGGTTGTTATGATATGATATCTTCATAATTTGATAATTGTTAAAAGTTGTCGGATATCAGACAAATCATCAGGTAAATCTTTGTTTTTGCAAACTGTCTTTTGCATATCTCTGTCATTTGCATATTGTGAATTACAAGGCAATGTAGTTACGATAACATTGTTTAATTAAGAAAATTAGCAAGTGATAAGCAAAAACAACTTAGTTACGATAAGAGGTGTTTAAATTTGCAAGCAGTTGATAAACAACGAAAATGAAAATGAGTTAAGTTTACATGACAGTAAAGTTGACAATCGACAGGCATCACCACAAAAAAGGGTATATGCCGATAAAACAGCATTGTCAAAATAAATGTTTAAGACATACAAAACGCAATAAAAAGAGAGTTACAGCTGATAAGGCCCAATAGTACAAGACCCACAAGAAGATGTCGGTGATGACTGCCCGCCCCTTCAAGCTTGTGCGTTCTCAGGCACTGGAGAGTTTAAAATGCTGGGATCTTTAGGGCCATCATCAGCACTGGGCACCAAATTGTACAAGTCCTCTTTAGAGAATTGCTGTGTCTCGAAGCCGGAAGGGATCTTGTAAGCTTCCTCGTTGAAAGCTTTTTCAACTTTGGCCCAATCTTCCTTTTTCCAACCGGCAGCATAGGCAACACATCTATGAGCAGCAGTCAAACCTCCATCGAAACGATCTTGGAGCTTGGAGAAAAACTCGTTCGAAGCTAAATAACAGCCCACGGCTCTTTGACGAACACCAGGCTTATCAGCTTCCATTTGTTTAACCTTCTCCTCAAGGTTTTTTATTTTAGCTCTGGCGTCGCCGAGATCCTTTTCAACTGAAGGAAGGCGCTCAATGGCCTTATCTTTTTCAGCAATTTGAGTCTTCAGACTCTGCACTTCCAATTCTAGACCAGCAACCTTCTCAGCCTTAACCTTCAGTTCCGACATCTCCTTGTCGTCTCTTTCTTTTATTTTCTTCAAATTATCTAAGGCTTTTTCAGCATTATTGATGATTTCCTGCATGGCACTTTGGCTGGAGGAGGCTTGATGATGCTTCTCCTGATAATAACGGTACATCTCAACAAGCTCTGTACCAGACATGACGGCCTAAAATAAATAAATATATGCACAGTTAAGAATAAGATAAACAGAATAAGTCTATAGCAAAGCTGTATGCCAAACATAAAAATATGTAAAGGAAAAGTTAGAATACCTTCATCATGTTATGCATGTGAGTAGCAGCAAGGGGGCCGATTGGACCAGCAGGTCTGTCCATCGGCAGAGTAAGATTGCTTAAAAGCCGATAACCGAGATTCCCACCTTGCATTGGGTCATCGGTAATCATAGACTCATTCCGGCCGACATCCATCCTGGGTTGCCAACGGTCTCCGGAATGACCAGCAGGGACAGCGAAACCCTTCAGAACTTCGTCTGGAAACCTTCCAGAGACTCGTTCAATCCATTGATTAGACCGATAAGTCAGGGCCGGAATGCTTGAATAAGAGCCAACCGTAGTAGGGGCAATTGTGACGGTTGGCTGAAGCTGACAAGGGGACTCGGCAGTAGTGAGATCCTCGATCTCAATCCCCTGAATAATTTTCTTTACAATGGCCTCAGGGCTCTTAGTTTTGGTGATGGGCGGAGTCTTCTCGGACTCTGACTGGTCCTTCTTCTTCCCACCACGCCCTTCAGATTGTCTGGGGCTGGAAATCACAACGGCTCCACCTCGCCGATTGGCCAGGGATGTCGTCTTTATCTTTTTTGCATTGTTATCAGCCATGATCTCAGCTCTTCTTTTGGCACTGATAGCTGGAGCGCGGTCGCAAACGGTAGTAAGGGTATCGTAGGGGCTTGAAGCTTTAGGGCAACGTCTGAGAACCCTCTTCCCGTCAGAAGATAAGCCGAGTTGCCTGTTGTCCAACTTATCAATACCTGAGAGTAAAAATGAAAATTCAATCAGCCAGGTGCAAACAATTTTGTAAAAAAAAAAAAACAACAACAACAACAAAGGAAAGAGGTCGATAAAATAAACAGTACCATAATGGTCAGTCCAACAGAGACCGACACGAGATAACGGCGCGTTACCCAGAATGTAACTCACATTCGGCACCCACACCTTAGGAACTATGCGGACCTTGCCGTCACCTTCGTCAAATTCTGAGACGTCAAAATGATTGACGGCTCTCTCCTCATGTTTACCGAGATCTCCCTCGGGAATTGAGTCAAAACGAGGATGAGGCTGGAAAAAGGTTCGTCTCAAAGGAAAGTCCTCAGGAACTGACATGAAAAAGAACCTGACTTGCCAACCCTTGCAACTTGTTAGCTTAGGGTGGACGGTATATTTGTGAGGTTGGGTATACAAAGACCACCACCCATCTGACTGACCATCTCTCTTCAGAGTAATCAGTCGTCTAAAAACGTTAAGGGTTAGGGGATAGTTTCGATATAGCATAACCCAGATGGTGGCAATAACGGCCCGAATAGTGGGAGGAGTCAACTGAACTAAACAGACATTCCAGGCCTTCAGGATTTTTGCCACAAAGGGATGTAAAGGAAAGTGGAGGCCGAAGTCTAAATGCTTCATATAAACGGCCACGGAACCTGCCGGGCAATCTAATACCGAAGCTCCAGAAGGGGGAATTGACAGTTCATACATGTCAGGTAAGCTGAAAAATTTCTTAGCACGACGACAGTAATCTTTTTCAAGTGTCGTTTTCCTAAAATCGTCATTTATTTTTGCCTTAGCCACTTTTCCGTCTCTGGCAAGAGTAATAGGTTGTCGGAATTCAGCTCCGTCAGTTTCAGAATTATAGCCCTCGTCCAGGTTCTCTTCCTGGATAACCTCTGACGTCATGTCAACAATGTCTCCCCTACTCTCATTGTTAATACTACCTTCTTGAGTCTCGTCATCTCCTAAGACTGAATTGACGGCTGAATCATGAACGGAAGATGGCGGACCTTCCTGGGGGTTTACAGGGATATTAGCTACTTGTTCTTCTTCAGAAGAACTCACAACTTGACCTTGCCCAGGTCTTTTGCTGGATTCAGCTGCCTTAGCGGCCTCGGCTGCCTTAGCTGCTTTGGCGGCCTCAGCAGCCTCACGGGCAGCAGCTCGAGGCTGATAACTGGTACTCTTTACCCTCGGCATGGTGTTTATACCTATATTGCCAACGTTAGTGCCGTATTGATTAAAATAGCGTTTCCCAGCAAAGCTGCGTAACTGATAACGAACACTAACAGGCTCAGCGTCAAGAATTTCAGTATCGGCAGGAATATCAGGATTAGTGGGATAATAGGCACGTTCGCAGTAGGCAATAGTCCTATGTAGCATAAAACCACGTTTTTCTTCTTCAGAAGATAACGTCTCAAATGGACAATCAATATTATCAGAAAGGGAAGATGAATTACCCTGATTACTACCGGTTTCTTTGCATAAGGATTGCCTAATTAAACGACGTCTGGCAGTACTAAAGTTAGAAAAATTCTCTTCAATACTATCTTCAGACATTTAATTTAAAATGAGGAAATAAAACAAACATGCAAAATCAGGGGTTAGGGAGCGGCAAATACCTTCGACGAGAGTCGCTGATACGATGTACTTAAAAACCGAGAAGTGACGAAGAAGAAAAGCACGCCGAATATACTGAGAAGAGCAGACCGAAATCGAGAAAAGTAAGAAGAGTAAACCTTTGATTAAAAAAAAAAATTGACACTGAGAGAAAGCTTTGGGAAAATGAGAAATAAAATGAAAAATGGCGGAATATTTATCTAAAAGAAGAAACTGAAAAGTCAGTTGAAGTGAAAGGCAGTTCAGAGATCCAACGGCCCTGAACCGACAATCAATTTCAAAAAGCAACGGTAGGATTTGTGACACGTGTACTAATTTTCCCGCTTTAAAAAAAACGGTTACATTTCCATATTATAATAAGTGGACCTTGTCTGCTATCGGCACACAAAGTCACTTGGGGGGGGGGAAACGGAGTTTTTCGCTCCCATGTATTTTATAATAAGTGAACCTTGTCTGCTATCGGCATACAAGGTCACTTGGGGAGGGGGGGAAACGGAGTTTTTCGCTCCCATATATTTTGTAATAAGTGAACCTTTTCTGCTATCGGCACACAAGGTCACTTTTAAAAAAAAAATTGAGTCAATAGGGTAATGTGTCGAGGAAGTATAAAAAGTATAAATTTGAGAGATAACACCAAAGATAATGCAAATGAACACACTATGGGATTATAACACTATATAAAAGTTGTCCTGAAAATTACAAAAAAAAATAATAAAATAATAATAAAAATAATAGTAATAAATAAAAATAAATCTTCTCAGCAAAAGAATATAGAGCTTAAAAGAACATAGAAGCAAATCTTCTGAGCAAAAGATTGTTCGAGCATAAGCCAAACGGGTATAACGAACTGCAGCAACGGCAGGGATAACGATAAAGTTTTGTTGATGCACAGTACTTGACAGAGTACAAGAAACGCTATCACATGAAACTTCCAAGATGAAGTAAAATTCGAAAAATGAGAAGTGGAACCCAAAGTTTGTTTAGTTAGG